TGTGCCAAGAATGAAATGGCAGATGGAGGAAAGCCATAGATTTCTTGTTTGAGGTTAGCAGAGCCAAAATATGAATGAAAGAACAAGGGTCTGAGGTGACCAAAAATCCTGACCCAGCATGACAGCAACCCCCTGTAGTAAAACAAGGTGATAGAAGCATCATCCTGTGGGAACACTTCTTCTGTTGTGAAGCTGATCATGGTTGAGGATCAGATGTATAAAACTGCATAGGGATACCCTGAATAAACAGGTTAAAGACGGCAGGACAACAACTGTAGACATTCAGTCAAAGTTGTAATTTCATGCTAAATATTTTTACATTTTATTTGTAAGAATGACCCACTTAAAGTCAAAACCTAAATCAGATTATAGAGCAAGGGCAATACTAACTGTTGAACAGCTTTTTTCTTCTTTTTTTTCAGCTTTTTTTTTTATTGTCATTACAGTGTAACAAGTACAGAGCAACAAAATTAACTCTCTGCATTTAACCCATCCCCCCTGGGAGCAGTGGGCTGTCATTTTGCAGCGCCCAGGGAGCAATGTGGCAGTGTGCCCTAACCACTAGGCCACCACTCCCAACCACTAGGCTGACCAGCTTAACTTAAGCTACTTTACGATGGTTTACTTTTTTGTTTTTCCAATCTCACAATTATCTACTACCGTATGTTTTTTCAATAAAATTTAAGATCTACTAAAAGGAAACATAAAACCGGTTCAAGTGATACTAACATTTTAGCAATTTATTGGAAAAAAGACATGCAGTTCTAATTTTAAAGCAAAAATGGAAACAATTTAAGTTTTTCTTCTTAACCTGAAAAATAAATTAACATACATAAAACAAAAGGCAGCTTTACAGTCACTGACCTACCAGGATCAGTCCAAGAAATTTATCTGGGATCGACAAACTAGAGTAAAGCCCAACATTTAAATAAGAAATGCTCATCAGACCAGGCAGTGATATTATGAAGGACTGCTAAGAGCTTCTAAGACACCTGACATTTCTCAACCAGACAGGCAACCAGACTCATCCTGTCTTTGTCTATTTCCTTCCTCAGGTAGATAATCTGTGGAATGATGTGATCTGACATGTAGAGTCAAAGGTGTGTCAGAATGCATCCGAATTGTGGTACAGATTTACACAAGGTTATTTTATTCTGAGAATAAAAAAAGAGTATCTCTAAGCTTTCGGTCATGTCTACTGACCAGAATGATTTATGTCTGTTGTGCCCCATAAATAACAGCAGGCTTAGACTGTGCAAGAAAAAAAAAGAAGAAAAAAGCAAACCTTTTTATCATCCACTTACCACTTTGACCAGCTGTGACATGGACACTTCAAACTGCACAATGACCGGATCAGACACATTCTCCACTGGCCGAATGTACTGATTGTAGTTGGAGAATATCACCGAGAAGAGCTTATGCTCTGCTTCTGAACATGTGCCTCCTGCACCGGAGCAAACGGTCAGACATGGATCAGTGACTGCAGGATTTTCCACATGGCAGAAATCCAAGTCGTGCATTTCTCAAATCATTTCTACACATTCTGTGCTATTTGACCTGCATGCTGTTTGATCTCAGTGTATCATCTCAAGTCACTCAATAAAGAGAAACTTTATTCAATTAGTCTTTAAGTTAAAACAGAACATTTAAAATTTTCTGAATATGCAGTTAATGGAATAAATTAAATAGTTTTTTTTAATAATGAAAGGCTTCAAGAATCATTAAGCTAATGTGTGAAATTAATAACATAAATCAAGAAAAATGCAACAAGTATACAAGCTGATATAATTTCCCAAAAATGTCTTACCTGAAAAGAAGTACAAAAATATGATGTAAAATCTGTTATCCATCCTCACAGAGGACAGATGAATCAGGGGTCAACGGCAGCAGAGCTCCACGATGCAGACAGAGGAAGAAAGAGTGATACAGTGTGTGCAGCTGCAGACTCAACCAGAGAAAACGGGGAGGGAGGCAGTGGCACAGTCAAACACACAGCCAGTCACCGAGAGGAACCACACAGCACACAGATGTGCACGCTATGGCCAGTAAATCAAGTCAGACACCAGGAGGCTTTTTTTCTCTTTTATACTGCTGGATTTTTGTTGTTTTAAAAACCAAGAAAAATCTTGCAAGTCAATATGCTAATTACTAAGCAGCCTGAAGATTCAGAAAAACAAATAAGTTATGCTGTCAGCAGACCAGTTGGTATTCACTTGGGTTTCCCTCTCACAAACATTCATTATGAAATCTCAATATTAAATCTAGGCTTGCTGTCCCTCTGGGGTTTGGACAAACTTCAGTGGAACAGATTCCTCATTCATTTATTTGTTTCCTTTTAAAAAAAAAAAGAAAAAAAAAAAAAAACAAGCAGCTTTAAGGTTTTCTTGATTTTAGTGGAAAGATTCAAATGTTCCTCCATCAAACCCTAGAAAATGGATTCAAATTAGTCTCTTCTGGGCTAAATTTGTCTCTTTAGCTCTGTGGGGAAAGAAAATACATTATTAGTCACTTGTGAAAGGGAATCTGTTGGGATTTAGGTAGCATTCATAAAATTCTGACATGAACAAATAATTAAAATAATATATAAATAAGTGGAAAAAGAAAAATACTATTTGCTACCATAGAGTATTAATGTCCAGCAGAGAATGAAAAAAAAAGTTTTTCCAGCAGTTAAGAGGCTAATCCTGATTTTAAAAATGCAATCCTTAAAAAAAGTCTTTTTTTGCAGAGTGTGGATAGACAGCAGGGTGTTCGATTCCTGCAGAGGTTGCAAGATTACCGACTGTCACTCTTCCTGAGTAAGACCCTTAAAGTTGTGTGCAGTAGCACACAGCTCCCTGAGGGATGGATTAAACACAGAGGACAGAGATCGCCACAGTGAAACTATAATCGAGTATTTCTGCTTCTACTGTACCTCATTTAAATTTGTAGATGTAATAATTGAGTGTGTCCAGTGGACTTATTTATAATTTTTATTGATAAAGAATAACACCCTTGACCAACTATACCCACTGTGAAACATGGTGATGGCACCATCATGCTGGGGGGATGTGTTCTCCTTAGGAAGGACTGTGAAGCTGGTCAAATTCTCTGTAGAAGTGGTTCAACCCTAATTAAAAAGGGAGTGTCGACCTAGTGGTTTAGTGCGTTTGTGCTCTGAGAAGGTTGCAAGTACCTGGTTCGTTCCCCACAACCTGCTCTCTGGGTTCCTGAGCAAGACCCTTTACCTCACACTGATCCCCTAGCACCACACACTGGCAGCCCACTGCTCCCCCAAGGGGATGGGTTAAATGCAGTGGTGAATTTCTCGAGTATGAGATTAATAAAGTTAACTTAAAATACAAGACTTTATCAAGTTTTGTTTTTTCTCAGATCACGGTAAACTTGTGTGTCAAAATATTCCAGAATTTGATCCAATTATGAAACTATGGTGAGATCTGAAAAGGGGTGTTTACAAATGTCAATCCTATGGAACTTTAAGTATTTTGCCAAGAGAAATTAACAGAAACTAAAAGCTTGCAAACTATGTACACACCGAAGAACGTACAGTTGTTTTTTTTTATTGACAAAGGCATACAGATTTCTTTCAAACAAAAAATAAAACAAAATTCGGATAGATAATAAAACAGGTTTTCTTAAGATAGCAAAACAATGTGAACTGTATGAATTTGGAAAAAAATTATTGAAAAACTAAATTATAATGTATCTATACCCTTCTAAATAATCAATAGAAAATAGATTTTTTTTGGCCTGAAAAAACTAAATGCTTCCTAAACAGCCTTTTGAATGTTTCCACTGTTATTTAAATGACCTCTTTGTGTTTCTCATCACTTTTTTTTCTCATCCCTTAAATATTTCTTAACAAATTCTCTTAGATGCATGCTGAGACTCTGGCTTGATGACGTTTGGCTGAAGTTCATGGCGGCTTTCCAAGCTAATAGGACACACTTGAATCCCCCAAGGTGTCTTTAGAAAAAAACAAAGCCACTTGGAAGTGAAAGATGTGGATGAGAAACCAAAAATAGACCATTGTCTCACTAAGAAACACCATTACACCATTTCTGCTTAAGAATTTTACATGTCTATGTATTGTTTATCCTAATAAAAACCAATGAAATAGACTAAATGGGTGTGAAAACTTTTAAAAGGCACTTTAAAAGAATAAGTGCCGCAATGGTTTGACAACAAAAACATTTCGCTAGACTTTTTTAATTAAAAGTTGGAAATCAACAAACTGGTAGGAACATGAATGAAATGATTGAATTATAGATTTAGATTTATTCTAAGTTTGGTCTTTGAGAGACGTGTCGAACAATTCTACTTGATCTTTTTGCTAATAACTGTTCACTTAAAGAATCAAATAACAAATAAATGACAGTGAAACTTGTAAACCTGAAGGCCAGTACAGCAGTTTTGTCCATTAACATGAGCATTGATTGATTAAAAGGAAGATCACCCTAAGAGTCTGCAGAGTCCCATCGAGCCCACTGAGCACTGTTTATCCAGCAGTAAACCTGGAATCTGTCTGTGAATGGGTTTTGGTAATTAGGCTCCACTTGTGTGTACTCCGGTACTTTTTTTTCTTCAAATAGGACGATATTTAATGAACAAGTGACATAAATAAGTGACCTATTAAAATAACAAATTTATTTAGGTAACCTGTGTTTACAGATCATCTAAAATTTTGAACCAACCGGGTCTTGCTATCTCTCCTATAGTTTCTTTCACATTACTAGACATTTAATCAGACTAAAAGAGGGACAGAGATCTTGCTTTATTCTTTTTTGATGACACAATTACACAAATTTAGGGCTAGGCTACATCTAACAACCAACATATTATATAAGATTTGTTTAAGCAAAACTTCAGCAGGATTCAGTGTTTTAAGAGAATATTCAACCCGGTCATACCTTTACTTATTGTAGATATAACACCACCTAAATCATATTTGTGCACCACCCATATTTTTTCATTCCGTCCTTTACTCTTCTTTAAATTTACATCACTGGTTCTTTTCAGTAATACAGCGATTGAGAGCTTTACATAAAGTCCAGGATTCACATCAGCCTTTTGATGCTCATCGTATGCGAGGAGTAGAAATAATGGGCTGCTGGTTGGGAATGATCTGACTCTGGAAGACAGGCTGCAGAAACAAGCCCAGGGTTCCCACCACGCACACTATCACAAAGATCCACAGGAACATCCGATCCACCACCATGGCCACATACTTCCAGTCCTCGATTACCTGCAAAAGGACAGACAGTTTTAAAGCTTTTTCACAATTTAATCTCTTTAAAGTGTCGAAAACGTTCAGAAATGTAAAAGTTTTGATTTTGTTTTGATTTGAATATGATGGAAAATATGAATTAATACAAAATAATAATTTTAATAATATTGTGAGGCATGGCAAGTTTATCTTTATAGCATGTTTCACTGGCAAGATAATTCATAGTACTATACAGGAGGAAAAAAAATGAAAAAGAAGAAAATTGACACATTAAAATAAGTGGATCATATATAAAAAAGATTATATCATTGATAAATAAATAAAATACTAAATTGATTAAGAAAGTGATAAACAGTTAGACCTGGAAACTTAACTCATATGTAGATAGCACAGTCAATGCCTACTCTAGACAAATACGTTTTTGGTCTCGGGTTTCAGTGCTTTAAAATTTTTGTGGGAGTTTATTCCTGATTTGTTTAGCATAATGTTTCTGGTTCTGGTTCTAATTATGTAAAGCAGATTAAGGCCGGAAGACCTGGGAGGCCTTGGTGGTTGAAACAATGATAACAATTCTGTAATGTATTTTAGAGCTAAGCTATTCAGTGATGTATAGACTATCTGAGATATAGGAAGCCAGTGTAACAATGTTAGCAAACCAAGTGCACAATGTAGGACCATGCAAATATTATTTTCCTCAGTTGAGGCCAGTGTTTGTGATTCCACAATGGAGAGAGAATATTCCCATTGTACAGATCCAAAGCACCAGCAAAAGCAAAAACACACATTGTCAAAAAAACAGACAAAACAAAGCAAAGGAGTATGAAGGAAAATACACAATTGTCAGGTAAGACAATATTGGATTTTTTTGGAAAGATCCATCCATCCATCCATCCATCCATCCATCCATCCATCCATCCATCCATCCATCCATCCATCCATCCATCCATCCATCCATCCATCCATCCATCCATCCATCCATCCATCCATCCATCCATCCATCCGATTGATGGATGCTGTGTTCAAACCATAGATGGGCAACATGTTTTAAAACACTTCAGTAAAAATACACTGAAGTAAATCTAAATACAAGAGTGTGCAAAATAAATCCTTCATTGTTAATATAAAATGAAGAAATAGAAATCTACAAGACAATAAATAATGTGCATTCAGACAACAGCCTGTATTATGATTTTGTTCATGCAGACAACTCTTTATCCAGAAACTTTTGCCACTTGATCTGACGTGAGGAATGGTCAAGATGCTAAAGTTACACAATGGAAAATATACCAAAAGATGCAGAGTAAAATTCTAACCAGAGACATTAGGAGTAGTTGTTGAATTGATCAAAATCCACCGTAACAAATACCTTAAAGTTCCCTAAGGTTGCATTAACAGTCTTGTTTGTCTTTCAAAGAGATAAGGAGAAATTGTCAATTATGCTTGTCCATACATGGTTCCCTCTCATGTTTCATAACTCTTAGTTCTAAACAATAAATAAAAACCTTTCAAAGCAACTTAAACAAGCGCAAAAAGGAAAAGAGCTATCATTCACTTTTTGTTTACAAAAATTTTTTATGCATTTTGTGAAAAATTTAAAAATGTTGGTATTAATCTGCATACATACACTTTGATCATCATCGTCGCTCATCATGTGCTCAGCCACAAAGCGTACTCCATTCACTGCCTCCTGTACATCAGCAGCCCAGTCAGAGTTGTTTCTCTGCTGGAGGTCCTGAGTTGAGCTGAAGCCAGTGAAAAGGTAATCAGAAGACCGCAAGGGCTCCATTCTGTTGGTGTAGCTGTGTCCCATCGAAGGGGCTATATTTTTGTGTCCTGGAGTGGAGAAGGCAGAGTCAGAGGACAGCAGGGCAGAAGTAGAAAAGGTGAATCCTTTTTGGGGGGCAACTGGGTAACCCGTAATAGCGCCCCTGGCCCTTAGGCTACGCTTCCGCCGAAGTTTCTGACTGGCGGAGAAGTGCTGAGGACGTTTCATGAAGAGCATAGCAGGTAGTTTCACAAGGAATATCAGCTTGACCCAGGCAGGCATTGTATGGGTGCTTGGAGAGCGATGATGCACATTAAGGACACACACACTGGTAATAATGGAGAAGGTCACTAGCACCATGGTGAACATCAGGTACTTGCCAATTAGGGGTACATCTAGTGATGTAGGAGGAACAATCTTTGAGATTAAAAGAAGGAACACAGTGAGAGCCAAGAGGACAGAAATGCAAAGTGTCATCTTCTCCCCACAGTCCGAAGGCAAATAGAAGACCAGAATGGCCAACGAGGTGATCAGAATGCATGGGATGATGAGGTTTATGGTGTAAAACAGAGGCTTCCTTTTGATGATAAAGTCATATGTTAGGTCCACATAAGTAGGATCCAGAGGGTCCACATTTCGTCTGCCTGGTAATGCCAGGATGTCCCATTCTCCACTTGGTGTAAAGTCATCCATACTAGCAGCCTCAGACTTTAAGATCAGGTCAATTTCTGTGTGGTCGTAGGTCCAGGAGCGAAACTTAAGGGTGCAGTTCTGCTGGTCAAAGGGGAAATGCTTGACTTCAATCTTACAGGCACTTTTATAGATGGCTGGAGGAAGCCAGTTGATGGTACCATTGAAAAGGACAATGACATTAGTGAAGACAGTGACCTCATAGGTTCCATCGGCACTGTGGTGATGAATGGAGAAAAGACAATAAAAAAGTTTTAAACTTCTTACAAATTAGCTTCTAAGGCAAATGCTGTCAGCACTGTAATCTGTGTAAGTTCAAAACGAAATCCACAAAATCTGCAGCTTGGTCTTTGTTAAACTACAGAGGTTCCATTACAGAAGTGACAAAGTAAAATGGAAAAAAATGCTATGAGAGTAAGGATGACCAATGACGGATTTAAATTTCTAGATGGTGTAGATTAGCCTAATTTTGGCTGTTTTATAATTAGCCAGTCGAGAAACCAAAAGTAAATAGGTACACTACATGATGCAGACAACTTTTCTACATTTTGTTTTCTCTAATATTTTATGTCTGAGGTAAACACTTAAAAATAACAAAGCAACACAACTTACTTGTTGTACAGGACAATATCAGGAAGCCAAACATGTCGGGAGGGAATACGCAGCTTGTCAATACCTTCATATTTTGCAGGGTCCCATGATAATCTGTAATCAACCCAGTGCTGGAGAGACAGTCGGATCTGGTCAGATTACACAGCTCTCCCATAACACCAACTCATTTCTCATTACATGCTTGATTATTACTGAAATATTGTTTGAAGCTATTTCAAAGAAGCAATTTGCTCCATGTTAAAAGGTAATAATTGCCATGGTTTAATTCTAGTTTAAAGTGAAGGGCATTTGGTAGGCCACAAAATGTTACACTGCACTCTATAAACGTACCTGAGTTAGCCAGACATTTGTGGTCATGATCTGTTCTCTTTCATTCTGGAAAAAGAAACATTTGGCAGCAATTATTTACAATAAATGTTTTAGGAACATACACAATAAATGATCTAGACAGAATATCAAAATTGCGTTGGGAAACAAACAACATCTTGATTGTCATAATGAGCATTTTGCAAAAGGTTCATAATATATAAATAAAAACATAACAGGAACAAAATGACAGAACAAAACAATCAAATGCAGTCAATTTTTGCCCTATTTCCAAATTGCAAGACTAGCTCCTCCCAGCCATGTGATTTTATTGCTGTTAAAGCATTTGCAAAACCATAAACCCATTTTAAAGCCACAACTACAAAGTTGGAGACACTCTAGCAAACATAGTTTCTGGTCTGCAAATTCAGGAAAAAAATTTGTTGCTTGATGAGGGAACTTGTTCATTAGCTGAGTAATTTAAGTGAATTATGTATCAATATATAGCTATGAAAGTTTTCCATATTGTCAGCAGTCTTCAAAATAGAAATCTAAGAATTTGGGTCTGGATGCATCCATCCATCCATTTAATGTCACAGAGTACACCCTGGACAGGTCGCCAGTCTGTCGCAGGGCTTATGATAGATAGATAATGATATTTAATGTAATATGAATTGAGGTGTCTGGTAGCGCACAACCTTTTCTAACTAATTCAGTTTGAAACTATAACATTTTGGACCTTCGCACATTGATTTAAATACAAAAAAAGGAAGAGCAGGAAGGAAGCTGTTCTCAACACCCCTACTCTCCACGACCACCCAGAGGTGTGTGCCAGTAGACACGATCTTCTTTTACCCTTCCTGCCACTTAAAAACAGCCCTAGCATTTGTAACCCCATAATAACACCAAAAATGTGGCAGAGCAACCCTTAAGTTTGGAATTCTGTAGAAGAAATTTGATATTCTAAATGCTTCCTCTAAAATGTAATCAGATAAAGTGTTTTTGAAATTAGTTTTCAAAAGTGCAGAGATTTTAGTTGTCATAAATTGGCAGAGCGTTGCCTCAGACAAAAGCGATGGGTAGAAAACTCTATTAGCTCTTTTGTCTTGTACTACAGAGTTCTAGAATCAAACAGATAAGAATTTGGTCCGAAAGATATTGAGTCATTAAATGTTATTGATAATGAAAAGCATCTATTTCTAAATCATAGCTACAATTTGGGTTTTGGGAGTAAGAACACAAAGATGCAATGCATCGAAGAGCAGCAAATTCAGACTCCAAGCAGCTGGTGTTCTTAATCTTCGAATCATTAACCTTTTTATGAGCTCAAAGGAGGTCGTAATTACTCTCAGATAAGCTGTTATCTGGATGTCTGCTGATTAGTAAAACGTTTCATTTAAACCTGTTCTGATCTTTTTTGACAACCTTGTCAAAAACGTTGCTAAGTTACTAATACTAGTCATAAGTCTTGTAAAAAAAACAGTGTGTCTACCTCTAAATGGGAAATGTAATCTTGATAAATGGGATGATGCAATGTTTTAAACCTTGAGAGCAGCAATTTGCATAAAAACATTTTAAAATGTGCTGCAAAAAAAGTTGAGGCTTTTGAAAAAAATAATGCAACCGTTTTTGGCATCAACTTCTGATAATATTCAATTTCTTTAACAGAATTGTTTCATGTTAGCTGGGTAGGACATGAAACAATTATGTGAAAGAAACTAAATATAATAAGAAGCAGATGCCAAAAACGGTTCCAATTCCAATTGACTGACTACCATTAAACATAGCTTAGAAATGCTAAAATAATTAATAGGGATGCATGATATAATCGGCCCCCTATCGGTATCGGCCTGTATCGGCCTTAAAACTGAATATCGGACATCGGCCACCCCACCGATATTTAACCCGATATTTGATCAGCTTCTGAGTTTCTAAAGTCTAAAAAAAAAAAAAAAATACTACTTCTTCCTCAAAAACTTCTTTTTTTACAGACCTAAAAACTTCTAAAGACGGGGGAAAAAAATATTGATACATTAAAATATCACAATATCTTCATATGCTGATATATTGCAATTTAAAAACACCATATCAATCTCTTTTACTATATGTTGATATATTGACGCGGTATCGATCTATTTTACTAACAAAATCTCACAAGAATTTGCAAAATATCACGACAGTTTGTAACAGAGCGATGAAATTTCACGAGATTTTGAAAGTAAAATAGATCGATACCGCGTTTTTAAAAATCTATTTGATATCAGCATATGAAAATATATTTGAGTATATTATTTTTCAAAGTGTCAGAAATGGATAACAAAACTGCTATTTTCAATGACTACTTATTTTTGTCCAGCTTTAACATCGGTATCGATATTGGTTACATGAGTTTTAAAATATCGGCATATCGGATATCAGCCAAAATCCCAATATCGTGCATCCCTAATAATTAAAATCTAATTAAGAAACGACTTTGAATGAGTTTTCTTCTAAATAGAAAGTATCTTTTATTTACTCTCTATTCTTTAAATCAATATCCATATTTACACATAGATTAAAGTATAGCAACTAAAATGGAATGACAAATTATTCAATAGCCATTCCAATTCCCCTCCCATCATGCCACTAAAACTTGTACTATCAATAAGGGGCATCCAAATAGCAATTACCAAAGGGGTGAAATTGAAGCTCATAAAGTGAAGCTGTGAATGAGCTTTCTGTCCCGAACTGCAGCTGACAGCAGTCTCCATTGTAAATCAGAGAAAAGCCTTGGTCGCTGTGGCTAAAACAGGTTTATTGCCTCTTTTAATCCATTGTGCTGAAGTTTCAATCTAGACATGACATAGGCAGAGATGACAGCTGACCAGATCTACTATCCTACCTCATCATTTGTTGAGAGCTTCATCCTGAAAGAACCTACTACGTAATTAACTACCTTTAAAAAGCTGTTTTGTATTCTACATCCCCACTGTCCTCTATCTTAAGGTTGGTCTCATGTCTACCTATTTGTTTCCACAACCCATTGACCCTTTTACATGCAGATATACAAATACATATTTGTGGATTGGCTGCCTTACCACACTGATAAGTTGTGCAAGGGACACTTGAAGCTTTACTGTAACTCTCTCAGTCCTGTTGACGGCCGGTCGAATGAGTGGATTGTAGCGATCCGTTCCTAGCAGCCAGTTCATCAAACGTTCCTCTGAGTCAGCAGATATGCTACCTGGCAACACAATCGTGTTTGTCAATTTTTTATGGGACAGTAGAAGCATGAAGATGCAAAATTTAACTTCACTAAAATAAACCTCATCAATTCTGGAGGGAAGAGAAGATAATGGTCATTACACTTCAGAAAAATCTAGGAATGAGTAAAGATTTCTTAAAATAAGTGTATTTACCCAACATTTTAGGGTCATCACAGATGATCTGCCGATCAACTGAGTAATTTACCCTTAAAATAAGCTCATTAGATATTGTGCACTTGAAATAAGATGCTTTTCCTATTTGAAATGTGAATTGTCTTATTCCATTTGCAACATGTCTCATTTATCTGCTCACTTAAAAAAAAAGCACTTATTTTAAGAAAGATCGACTTAGATTAAAATTATTAGCTGTATACTATTTGCAGGTTCAGGCAATTAAATGAGCATAAGCATATAAAAAATAACAAGTTAAATTTTAAGGTTTAATATCTTTAATTCTTTTTCAATATAGAGTATTTTTTTAGTGGAAGGAGTAGTGAAAGGTGCCCAAGAAGCAGAAATAATTGCTTCATTGAGAGGATTGTGAAGCCAATTCATGAGTTAATAGTAAACATGGACATGGCCAACAAACATTACATTCCTTATGTTTAACGATCCTAAACCAGCAAGGGCAATGAAAAAGCAATGATTTAAACAGGTCTGTTATGGTTCTCCCCTTTTGGGACTTTGAGTATTTAGTTTTCAGTTATATAAGTAATTCTGTTTTGATGATCTTTGGTTTATTTTCCATTTTATGTTATATTTAAGCAGCCTTTAGTTACTCTCTGTTGCCCCATTGTGCCAGTCTCCTTTCCCCTAGCTCCCTTCTAGTCACTTCTATCCACACCTGCTCCATATGAGCTGATTACCCCAGTCTTTGTTCTGTCTCCCAAATATACTCTCCCTATGCAGTTCCTCCGTGCTGGCTCCTCTTTGTTTCTTGGCTCCCCATGTGTGTTTTCTCCTTACGTCTCCGGGGCTTTTGGGTTCATTTCTTGGATTTAGTTTCTTCTTCCCTTTGACTTCATTAAACCTACAAGAACTCATCTCTGCCTCCCTCATCTCTGCATTTGGGTCCTCAACAAACCTCCACCCTCAAGTTGACAGTAGCCGATATAGAACATAGGACCTTTAATTTTTTTCAAAAGTATTCATACACCTTAAGCTTCCTGCGTTTTGTCAAATTAGAACCCCACAGTCATCAGTGTATTCTATTTTAGCTTAAAGTGATAGATTGCCTTTGATGTAAAGGCAATGCATTTTCTTACGCCAAACCTTTACCACTCAGATTATTTTCCCTTTTTCATTAGCTGCTAAAAAATCAGAAAGATAATTGTAAATACTACCAACACCAAATAAACTCAAATTTAGAAGTTAAAGATAAACTAAACATAGAAGCTTAAACAAAATTGGTAACACTAACATTAACCAAGTTAGTCTGTCTCTTGTTCCATTAAACTTTCCAAAATAGACACTTTTTAAACATTTTTCATTGATATACCAATTATTTTGTGAATATAAAAAAAACTTTTTATTAGTTTCACTGTAGAACATCCAAAGAACACCTTGAGAATGCAGGTCCTACTGGGAGCTTTGTCTAGGTGTTATATTTAATAACTCAAGAAGGATGAAAACAAATACCCAATACACTTTTCAGATTCTTGTTTGTATTAAAATGCCTAAAAAGCAAGGTATCCTTAACCTACCTTCTTGTAAAGCAGCCTTGCCTGTGTCTTGCCCTTGCTTATTTCAAAAACAAAACCAACTAAAACTGATGGGAGATCAGTTTCTTCTAAATCAGATTGACACTTCTTCTGTTTCTTAATGTATTCAGATTAAGGCTAGATGTTCCTAAAAGTCCCCATATTAGAGCAGCTAATATAACAAACACATTTATGGTAACCATTTAGGAAGACAAAGCTGTTATCTTTTAGAGGCTTTATTCTACTCTGTACAGCTACGGGGTTTTGGTTTGAGCTTCCTGTTGATGTGACTCAAACTGTGTGCCATTACCAGCCCCTGAACTCCTGTTGCTTTGTGGGCTGTGGTGCAGTAACCATCTACCCCCTCACAGGTTGGTGGATAGTGACATGACAGCTATTGTCAGTCACTTGGCATAGTGGCTTCCAAGGTGCTATTCAACAGATGGTGTGTCGTCGAAGCTCTTGGAAAAGAGAGTCAAACAAGCTGTTTCTTCCCCAGAGGTGAAAGCCTTTTGGTCTGCACAGATGAGCTGCTGTGAACAGACCCAAAGACACGTTTGTGTCTGTGTGTGTAAAGGCTAAGCACGGCAAACCACACAAGCTGCTTCTGACTGCTTAAATGACATTATAGTGATTTATAGAGGGAGGTCAGGCGTGTTATGCCACAGTAAACCATTTTAGAACTGAGACGGTTCTCAAATAACTGAAAAACCATTATCCTCAGAGTGAGGTTAAAAATCACAAAGCAAAATGAGGGGGGCCCTTTTTTATTGGTTTTGCTTTACTGACATCAGTTTGTAACATTAGACTAAAGTAATGTAATTAATTTTTCCCCTTTTTCTTTCTTAACCCTCATAACAGATTTATTTCTGTGACACAAAACATGATTCCAAACCAAAGTACTTATAATTTACTTTTTTTTTTCATTTTAAGTATGTTCTAATTAGAATGTATAATCAAAAGAACAGCAAAACAAACATCAAGCAGAGAATATTAAGACTTACTTTATCAAGAGATCTGAATTGTATTTGTTTTGTTGGGAAGTTTAATTACAGGATACTTTACTGATGTTTTACAAGTTTTCCACAAATAATATGTTGTTTTTCTTCTTTCATTCCCTGTAATTAAAATATCAATCATAAATAAAAATGTATGTTTATAAATCCGCCATTCAGCATCAGAGCTGGTAACTTTTAAAGTTAGAAATTAATTGCAGAAACAATCCAAATAAAAAAAAAACACATGCGATTTATATAGTTTAAGAAATAAAACAAAATGAAAGAGAAACTTACAGCGGATTAAAGTCATAACGAAGTAAGCGCGGATGAGGAGCGTCCGAGTCATTTTGAAGGCACCATCTGGTCCGGTTCTGGAGGGGACCGCTCAGCTGCGCTCCTCACAGCTCCTCTCCTCGGATACAGACCACTCGACGCGCTTTATGGCTCGGTAACTTCACTCTGTCGATGTCCGCTCATGGCCTTCTGCTCTCACATCAGCCACTGAGAGAAATGCAGCGATTTCTAACGGTTTCCCTGCAGCAGCAGCAGCAGCAGCATGCACACCGAGCTCTGCTCAGTCTGCTTTCTGCAGGTCCTGTGCAAGTTTGCACCAACAAAGCAGCTTTTCTGAACAGGCCGTGTTGGATAAACAGTTAATGCATTTGTTTTTTCCCTTTTAATAATCATAAATGTTCTTTTAAAGACAATTACAAACCATTACCATAAAAATATTTTTACTGATCTACAGGTATATCTTAATCAATTAGAATAAAATAGAATATTTGTGTATTTTAGTTTATTTGTTCAATAACAATAATGATAATTATAAGTGTTGTGGGTAGCACTGTATGGAGGACCAACTCCGCCATATTTAAAAATAAATACAGAAATAAATGAATGCTCAATAAATTTATAAGCATACAATTAATTGCCAACAAAAATACACTAAACAAATAAATGTAAGTAGAAATTCAATTATACAGTGTAACATAAATGTATATAACTCTTTAAATTAGCTTCTTTATTTATTTGCCTTTGTAATATTTACCTTATTCATTTTTTAGTCCTTTATAATCTTCAACTTTATTTTTTAATTACTTACATTTTTAAGTATTTATTTATGTGCATATTGTATTATCTTTGTCTGTTTTATTCTTCCTTTATATTTTTTACCTTAGTTATTTCTTCCCCGCTATTTATTTCTGTCTGCCCTTATTACATTTCTGTATGCATTTCTGCCTCATTATGCAAATGAGGATGGGGTGTGTCCTAGAGAGTCAACTTCTGCTCATTGGTTGGCGGTCCATCTTCTTAACTCACAGAGCTCTGAGTACTAAGTTAAATGTTCTCTTTTCTGTTGCTGTTGTTCAATAAAAGTACGTTTTAAGATTATTTGAGGCGAGAACATTACACTTTTAAGCATCTCCATATGGCCCATTCACAGATTTAATGCGTAATTTAAAAGAAAATGTTCCGAACTTGAGAGGACCGCGGCAACCAGCGGAGCTCCGAAGCTAACGGCAGCCCGTCCACAGCGGCCCTCTCTCGGCAAAGCCGTGTGTGAAGCATGTTGGTTAGCATTTTACTACATGGATCGAATCTACAGGAGGAGAGTCTGAAGTCAAGACTGAAGTCATTAGAACGGGAGTAGGGACTTAGCCAAATTCAACAAAAAATCGCCATCATAGCCAGCGGTCCTCCAACTCTCCATAGTTCTCCTGTTGCACGAGCACAGGGCGACTGTTGCGCGCCTTTAGTGAGCATGCGTGTTTACTGTTGCTTGCGCGGTAAATCGTGCCGCCTGCGCTGTGCGGAGATGCAGAGGAAACCGTATGTGATGGGGAAACGCAGCTCGACGTAACACCGGTATTTCCATCTGGAAAACGTTGTTTTGCTGCTGGAGTCATCCTCACTCTCTATCTCTCTGTGTGTGCTGTATGTTAACAACCACCAGCAGAAACACCCACCTACCCAACTGACAGACGGAATCTCACTATACATCAGCCATTCTCATCCTCCCCTCTCTCACAACAAGGCGCGCACGAGTCCTATCATGAAAAAAAGGTTCATTTTACAATCAGGCGGGTTTAAAGAGGAATTTTTCACAATCACAAAGGCGGCCTACCAGTTGTCAGTTGACGGGGCCCCTAAGCGGTCAGGGCAAATGCAACTGCAGTCTCTGCTAACCGATATTTACGGCATTGTCCCTGAGCATGTGTGGGTTCTCTCCGGGTACTCCGGCTTCCTCCCACAGTCCAAAAACATGACTGTTAGGTTAATTGGCTTCTCTAAATTCTCCTTAGGTGTGAGTGTGTGTGTGAATGCTTGTTTGTCTCTGTGCTGCCCTGCGATGGACTGGCAACATGTCCAGGATATACCCCGCCTGTAGACAGCTGGAGATAGGCACCAGGACCTCTAACCACCCCACTTGGGATTAAAGCTACAGTGTGTAATATTTTTAGGGACATCAAACGTCCAGACTGCAGACCGCAGCAACATGAACATCTCCCCCCCACCGCTTCTCCCCCCCAACAGTACGGCGAGCGTTACGGGACAAAATGTCTTCCACGACGTCCGCATCACCTACCTTATCAAGTGATGAGGTTTGTTTACATAGATAATTTTACAGATAGTATTTCATTAGTCTGTGTAGGGTATAGATTTCAGTACCGTCTCAGTTCATCTCTCTCAACTTGCCGTAGTTACTTTCAAGCGTAATGGGCGATCTCGCAATCGCTAGTTTGTTGGCTCTGCGCTGCCGTAGCGCAAAGATGTCTGCCTCCATGGCTGCGAGACCCGCTCCTATGTAATTATAAATAACGAATTCTAAGGCAACGCAAATATTAAGGTTAAGAGGCTGAGCTCGTAGATGATGATAAATAACATAGTTATGTATAATATGTTACATTTCTGACTGTATATCCCTGTAATTATTACACACTGTAGCTTTAACATGTCAGAAAATGGATGGATGGATATTTAGAATAATAATAAAAGTGGTTTAGAGGGACATTATGGAAAGCCATAAAATAAGATACATATTAGATCACGAGATTAGCACATTATCTATTCTAGGCTAGTCTAATATTGTGCTATGGCCAGCACATTCAAGTGGAAGATTGTTGATTTGACAGATGTCCAACAGACAGTGATTGTCATCCTTAACAAGGCCACAAAAAGTAGGTACTGATAAAGCTGGATGATTCCAACTTCCAAGTACATCAACAGAAAGCTTGGTGGAAGGAAACAGGATTGTTGAAGTTAAGGTCATTGATGATTTTTGGAATTTTGAAATGGACTGAAGCCTTATTGAAAGAACCATATGAAATGGGCTAAAATTCCTAGATCCTTTGTGTCCAACCACTGCTGACCCAGATGTCTATGACCAAAGTGAAGGAAGAAACACAATAATGTTAGTTCATAAAACTCTGCCAAGTGCTCTGCACCATTAGATGAGTCTGAATCGCACATAGTACTAGTAGACATGCTGGTGTGTCATGCTGTTTGTCTTAAGAAGTGCTGTAAGATTATGCTGTGCTGACATTATCCAGTAAATGTGGGCTGTGTGGGCTGTGTGTGTGGCTCATTCTTCTCAGAGTGATTCACGTTCTTGTTCATGTTCATTACTTCAAAACGGATCCGTTCAGTTCACTAAAAATATGAACACATTCAGAGAACGTAGTTCATGCACAACACTGTCAGTAGATTCCAAAATATTAATTCAAAAACAGGGTCTCAGCTTGTTGTTTATTTCCATGCATGTGTGTTTAGGGTGGTGATGACTGCTTTGGCCTGCATGCTCAAACACACCACTTTGTAGCTGTTTATCCACATAGGGATATCATGAAGGAGATGCAGCAGGATGGAGACTTCAAATTACTCAAATCTCTCTGGTGCTTTCAAATGAATAGAATAGAAAATCTCTTTATTGTCCCATGATGGGGAACTTGGGATGTTATAGAAGCAAAAGCATTGCAGTAAAAGTGGTCACACAAACGTGGACCTAAAAAAGTGTATAAAAATAACAGAATAAGTGGCAGAGATAAAAAAAAAATAAAATAAACAACAATAATGTACTATAAAGTTGTTTTGGGCAGTTACAGAGGAATAATGTACTCAGTTTTTGTGATTTCCCTCCTAACTGATAAAGAAGCTTATTATACACACTTAAAATGAGCATCACCTGGACGGGGCATCAGGTAAGTTCTGCTGAGATACTTTTCTTCTTCTGTTCTATTTTCCAGATTTACACAAACCTGTTTGTGTTCTTACTACTGGAACCACTTTATATTTTGCATTATAAAAAAACAATTTCATTTTTTTAAATATTTTTTTAGGATTATTTGTCATTTACCAACACAAAGCAGTGTGTGGTTGTAAAGTAAAAGAGAAGCAATTTATATATGTTTTCCCAAACTTTTTAAGGATTAGCATATGATTGTAGCAGTAAAAATGAAAGGGCTACAAATACTTTTGGAAGCTCTATTATGATCAGCCATCTTCTTCTTTTCCATTGGCACTATGACATTACGCTTCCATGTTTTTCCACTTATTTCCAAAATAATGTGCAGTGGTACAGTGTAGAGAAATAAAGAACAAAAAGGTAACATTATCCAGCATATAGGCAGGAGAGGGGAAGGAGTCCTTACAGGAGAAAGATTAGCAAGTTAACAGAAATCCCACTGAGGACCCAACTGATGAGATATATGGGCCTGCTGTAATCAGTGGAGTGGAAACAGTTGAATAATTATTCTGACAAATAACAGATGTAGGTGAGAAGGAAGTGGTGCAACTGAGAGGAGCTGGATGGGGACGCAGAATAAACAGACCAGAAACATATCACCCGTGGAAGGCTAATAAAAAAACAAATAATAAAATACAAGAATTTAAAATAAAGTAACCAAAAAGTAAAATAATTATTACAATTTCTAAGGTCAGATTGACACCTAAATTAAAGTCAGACGGATATGAAGGTTAGAGATGTATTTAAGCCTGAATTCTCAACCAACTTTTTCATCACAGATCTGAGGACAGTCCCTCTTTTTCATTAAGCTGATCCTGATTTATAATACAGGCTTATAACCATTAAAAATGTAGATATGATTTATTGCCAAAACACTTTTATTCTTATTATAATTTACCTGAGATCAAACATGACTTCTACAAAGGAATATACTTAAAAAAAAAATTAAAGATTCATATTTATTACCTCTCTAATGCCTTTCTTATTATTTAGATACTCCTGTCACGCAGGGAAAGGTTATTTCCTCATTTATTTTATTTTTGGTGTCTTGCATTTCATTTACATGTTATTTTTTTTTCAGATTTAGTGAGATTTTGCAGATAGCTGCATGTCACAGTTTTCCTCATTCTACTCCAAGCAGTCAACAAAAACTGACAGTCTTGGTGACCCCAGACTGCACCGAAGGGGCACAATAAATATTTCCCCTGCTTCTGCAACTTAAGATTTAGTGGAGCGAGGTCCAGTTAGACCTGCAGAAATGCAATCTTAGCATAGCAGATTTACAGTCTCCAACCTGCTTAAAGCGTCATTATACGGACCAGTAAAAAGGACCTGTATCAGACATGAAG